TGTGCGCCCTCTCTCCCCTGGCACCAAGCAGCTGGCATACTGGCAAAATCCGAGGTTGCCTTTTTGCGTCCAGTCCAGCTATGGGCTTATTTTTAGCGTTCCCTTCTGCCAGCAGCCCCGTGGGAGCCCTTCCACACTCGTGGATCACGCTGGCCCCAAAGTCTGTGGACTTTGTGGGGCGCAGACCTCCCCACGCACGTTCCTCTCCCCAACCTGAGTTGCAAACCGCACCTTCAGGCGAAATCTGACCTTTCCGTGAAGAAAAGCAGGGCTCCACGTAGTTGTGCTGTCCCAGATCCGGTGTTTCCGGGTTAGCAGCCGATCTCTGGATGCCGGATCTTTGGATGTATACGCTTCCAATAACAGCCATTCAAGATGGTGCGGTTTCCGCGGCTGAGCTGGTGCTCCGGGAGAGATTCTAGCCACAGTCTCCAACCGTCCCCTTTCTCCGGGAGTCCTCCGCCTTTCCCGGCTGCAAACTGTCTCTCAGCTGAATATCCTCTCTGCTTTTTTTTTTATAATCCTCACCCGAGGAGATTTTTGCATTGATTTTTAGAGAGAGTGGAAGGGAAAGACAGAGAGAAATATCGATGTGAGAGAAACACATCAATGGTTGCCTCCTGCACGAGCCCTGACCAGGGTCCAGGCTAGGGAGGAGCCTGCAACCGATGTACATGTTCTTGATGGCAATCAAACCTGGGGCCCTTATGTCCACAGGCCGACGCTCTATCCACTGAGACAAACCGGTTTCGGCTGCTCTGCTTTTTAAGAAAATACTTTTGGCCCTGACCGGCTTGGCTCAGTGGACAGAGCGTCGGCCTGCGGACTCAGGGGTCCCAGGTTCGATTCCGGTCAAGGGCATGTGCCTTGGTTGCGGGCACATCCCCGGTGGGGAGTGTGCAGGAGGCAGCTGATCGATGTTTCTCTCTCATTGATGTTTCTAACTCTCTGTCCCTCTCCCTTCCTCTCTGTAAAAAAATCAATAAAATATATTTTTTAAAAAAAAGAAAATACTTTTGTTATGTCTTTCAATAAAGTTCTAAAATTATTTATCTTGCATGTTTTTTTATGAATTTTATTCCTGGATTTAAAAATATGTATATGTATTTATAAAAACATGGCATACATCAAGGATAAATCATCTTTATTCTAAGACTAGTGGGCTACAAGGAAAGTGAGAGAGACAAATAGGGTGTGTGCACAAGCGCTGTTATAAATCAGATTTTTACCATTATACTTTTATGCTTATTATCATTTATAGGATGGTTAATTTTTTTCATATTTATCTTTTATACTTTAAAATACCATTGTAGTTAGAAAACTTTTATTATAGAAAATTTTGGACAACCCAGAATAATTTACATTAACACATTTCGTACCGCATAGAAATCTCTAAGACATACGCCAGGGACCGCACGTTTTTGGGCAAACTGCACGTTATTTAAATCATCATAACTACAGATCATAGTGCACTTTAGGTGTTGTTTTTCAATAATTATAACATGTTTATTTACAAAAAATTTAAACAATTAAACAATTAAAGTTCCTAGTACTTTTTTAATGTATGGTACTGCATAAAACATTTTCCTCTATGAAGAGGGACCAAACAAAATTTACATAAGTATCTAGATTTGCTCCTTTTTCCATGGGCAGCACAAACTCTGCAGGCTCTCGTAGGAAATTTTTTCTTTCCACTCGCTGGAATACACATAGGTTCCTGCTGCTTCATATCACCTGGCAACCTTTTGGGTGGATCTTTACGAGGTGCTCTCCTTGCACCCCCAGGGGAAGGGCTGGACAGATTTGTCTCTGGTTCCGGAGAGCCTTCATTATTGTCATCCGTTATCCAGTCTCTCGCCACCGATAGCAGAAACTTTATACTTCATTTTTGCTTGTGGATTGAGGACGTTGTACACTCTAAATGAATTGAAAAGTCCACAGTTTATAAGGTACAGCACTACTTTTTTTGTCCATTTCATCGTTTTCCTTAGAATGGAACAACACGAAAGGAAGTGTATCAGTTTCGTTGGTTTCCTTCCTTTTTCTGAGAGAGGGCATTTCTAAAAGCGCCAGCAACTTGAAGACAAAGACTATTCGAATGACCAAAATACTATGTAACTGCAATGCTTTATGGGTTCGTGCAATTATATAGTTTTTCGTAGATTGACCTGCAAGGTTTCCACCAATGAGATCGCTTCATTCAATGTGGACAAGACAGTGTGTTGACATCTAAGGTCCATAACAGATGGCACTTGAAAAACGAGAAAACTCGTGAGCGGTCCTTAACAGATGGCGTGCGAAACACGAGAAAGCTCATGAGCGGTACGAAAGGTGTTAATAAAAAAATATTACCTTTAATACTATCATGCAGAAATAACCTCTGTTGACATTTTGGTGTATCACTTTCTTCTAGAAGTTTTTCAATATGGTCTTAGTTATGTTCATACAATTTTTCTACACAATAAGCTTCCTCAACTTTATTTTATGAACACTGTAATTGCTGAATAATAGTCTTTCCTGTATTTACTATAAATTATTTAATTATTTCTATGTTGTCAAATTAAAACTTTTTTATAATAAATATTTTTCAACAAACATTTTTATATCCATACTAGTAGACCATCGTGTGATATCGTGCTTAGTAGGTTGCCTGCCACTTCCACGGGAGCCAGCGGGAACCACAGCATGCCGCTGGGGGGAGCCACGCTGCTTCCACGGGAGGCAGGAGGGACCCACGTTCATTCTGTAGGAGCCGGGAGGGAGTCACGCTGCTCCCAGGGGATCTGGGAGGGACCCGCGCTGATTCTGCGGGAGGCGGGAGGGACCTGTGCTGCTTCTGTGGGAGGCAGGCCTGCCATCTCCTCTCTAGGCCTGCGCTTGGCCACGGAGGCTGCGGGCCGGCCCCCCTGTCCCTTTCCGTGTTCACTCCGGCTCCAGGGGGCCGGCCCGAGCCAGGTGTGGCAATGAAGCAAGCATTCCGCCAGGCCACTCATGCTGCCCACTCTCAGCGGCCACCCCCCCACCCCCCAGGACTGGGGGATTCTGGCGGGGCTGAGAGGACTGGGCACTGCCATCTTGTGGCTATGGGCTCCACCATCTTTGTGATGGAGTGGCGGTTAATTTGCATATTACCCTTTTATTCGATAGGATTTTTTTAAGCACATTAAGTAATTTGCTTGAAGTTAATTTCTAGAAATAGAATTACTGGAACAAGGGCTCTAATCATTCTTAATAATATTGTAAAAAGTAAAAGTAATACAGAGTATCATAGAAAATAAAACAAAAAATTAAGACTACTCATGATCACACTTATCAGAGATAAACTCTATTTAGCTTTAGATATAATTTTTTATAATCTTTTTTCTATTAGTGTATATGTGTGTCATTTTTTAAACAAAATTAAGATTATAATTTTGATCTTGTTTAAGTTTTATTGTGAACATTTTCCAGTTTTAAAAAGGCTTTCAAATGTTCATTTTAAAGGTTATATAACAATCTTTTAAAAAGATATACCATTTTCAGACATATGTTCTTTTCAGTTTTAAAGTATTATTTTTTTTACTATCAAAAATAAAAGTACAGTAAATTTTTTTAAATCTTTGTGTTTCTCATTATTTTCTTAGAATAGAGTCTCAGAAATGGAATTATCAGATCAAAGTATATACACATTTTTAAGGACATATATAAAGCCAAATGCCTTCTAGACGGTGTTACTAATTTACTGTCCATCCACAGTATATTTGGGTACCAAAAAGTAATTTTGCTGAACTAGGTCTCAGTCTGTAGTTCATTGCTTTGAGGAAGCAGAGGTAATGGCTTCTACTTTCTATTTATCATTTTGTGGAAGTATAGGTGTTTCTTGAGATTGATTTTTGATCTGGCAGTTAAAGGGGCCTTAGCTATTTATATTTAGGCCCTGAAATAAGTTGTTGCATCTTGTTTTTTTAATCTTTATTGTTGAAAGTATGACAAATGTCCCCTTTGATTGTTTGTTTTAATGTGTTCCCATTCACCTCAACTCCACACCTGCCCCTCCCAGGCCTTCACCCCACTATTGTCTGTGTCCATGGGCTATGCATATATGCATGTAAGTTCCCCTATTAATTTTTTGCATCTTTGAGGGAAGAGATGAAAGGTGATTTCTCAAACTTTAATGAAGAGGCCTTTGGAGAATTTTGTTCTGGATGCTGTATATTTATAGGGAATGTTTGCAGACCCCAAAATTAGTAGAACTGAAGAGTAGCCAGAGAGTGATGTGTCAAATTGAGACTCAGTCTTTTGAAAAACAATGGGAAGAAAGTGGTAGCAGATATTTAGCTATGTTTCCTCTTATTTTTGATTCATTGGAAATAATTTCTCCCCAGTTAGATTGCCAATATTACATGGTGTCCCTGCCTATGAGAAGGGCTGGAATATTGAGAAACTAAAAGAAATTGAGAGCTGTGGGATTAGGGTCATTGCTTTCTGTTCTTATGCTTTGTGCAGTGTCTCCTTTTCTTTTAGACCTCATTTGCCCTTGGGCCCTCTAGATCATATTTATCGATTAAGTAAATGAATACATAAATAAATGAAGAGTTGGGTAAAAAATAAATTTAATAAATACACAGATACCAGAATAAAAGAAAAATTATGAGAGAAATGTTTCTTTCATATTCAGTTTATCCATGATCTATTTTTTTCCTTAAAATTTCAATAAGCAGAACTTAAGGAAGCACACATGTTTGCTGATAAGAAAAGTCAGGATAGTTTTTGATCCACAAAGCTTATGTCTACAAGAACATAACATCAATACTTTTAAAGGTAAATCAGTTTTTAATTTATTTCTTTTAAACCACTTTTTCTTCAGCTACTCAAGTGAAAATTGAATTACACTGTAGACTCCCCCTGCTGGGTACGAATGGGTGGAAGAGCAGAAAACCTGGGCTTGAATAGCCACAGGTTCCATTTGCCTCTCTTGCAGTGCCCTGATTGGTATCTTGAAATTCTCATGTTTTCTACAGGGGGCATTTCCAGCTCGTTTGAAGAAAGTGCTGATTGTGGGAGCACCCATATGGTTCCGAGTGCCCTATTCCATCATCAGCCTCCTCCTGAAGGACAAAGTCCGGGAGAGGGTAAGGCAAGCTAGCTTTATTTTATGTGGGGTGGATAGAGATTTCCATCTCTGCTGTTGAAACCTGCCAGTTTTCTACCTTCAAAAAAAAATCCTATTGTCTTGTCTTCCAGACCGCTTTCTGCTTTTGTAAGTGTATTCTCTGCTTTATTCTTTTTTTGTTGTTAGTCTTCACCCGATATTGATTTTTAGAGAGAGTGAAAAGGAAGGAGAGAGATGGAGAGAGAAAGAAACATTGATGTGAGAGAGACACATCGATTGGTTGCCTCACACATGCACCCCGACTTGGGGATAGAGCCTGCAACTGAGGTATGTGACCTTGACTGGAATCGAACCTGAGACCCTACAGTCCATGGGCTTATACTCTATCCACTGAGCCAAACTGACTAGGGTTTTGCTTTATTCTTTCTTGGCTCAGTACAGGCTGGCTCTCCCACTGTATTACAAGTTCCTTTGAAGTTAGTAACTGGACACTCTCCCATCATAGCATTTTGCATAAAAATAGTACTGAAGGAGTGTGTTCACTGAGTAACTTAGGGATAGCTACTACCAAAATTTAGCCTAGTACTATACAGACCTTTAATATTTAACAATCCTATCTTATAAAAGAGAAGCATGCAAATTGACCGTACCTCCACGATGCCCACAAGCCACGCCCACCAGCCAATCAGAGCAACTATGCAAATTAACCCAACCAAGATGGCGGCTGGTGGCCACGGAGCTGGAGCAAGCAGGAGCCTTGGGTTGCCCTGGCAATGGAGGAAGCTAAGCTTCCCGCTGGCCCTGGCCTGCCGTGGCCTCCGCTCAAGGCTACAAAGTTTCAATTATAGGGAAAATAAATCCCAGATACCTGCTTCCAGCCGGCCTGGTCTCTGCTCACAGAGGTGCTGGAGAAAAAAAAGGAGAGGCTGGGAGCTTGGGTCGCTGCAGGGCTTGGCCAGCCTGCAAACAGCCATCAGCCTCTCACCCAGGCTGGCCACACCCCCATGGGGTGAGGGTCCCCTCTGGGGGCTTGACCAGCCTTCAAACAGTCATCAGCCCCTCACCCAGGCTGGCCAGGCAC